TTTGCCCCTGTGGATGTTACAAATGCAAATGATAAGGGGACATGGCAGATGTGGAATAGTTCTCTCCTTGAAGATGGTCTGGGTTTGGTGGGTGGTACTGGTCCTTCAAGCTGGCTTTTACCCTTGGAGCATAATATATCAAATAAGGAAAACTTTGCCCATCCTTCTACGCAGAACACTATGGCATCATTGTTTTTGAACGAGGACCCTTTACCTGCTAGCACACAATCTCCTCAGCAGGTTTTTCTTGGTAACGGCCAGCTTGGTGGGGCATTCAATCCTGTAAATGGTCCAAGTTATCATGATTCGTGGCTTCAAAATGCTTTCCTTCCACCATTGTCTGGCGGTGATAATCATTTTCCTATTAAGCCTCGGGATGATGCAAGTGAAAGTAGTTATGGAAGTCCTAGTGGAGCTCCTTGTACCCATCCATTTGAGCAGTCTCCTTTGAATGGTTGGCCCAAGTGAGTGCATCTAACTTATATTCTGCCATTAATTGCTAAGGTTTCAGAGTTGTAGATGAAAGGCAAAAACCTTGAATGCTGTGTATTTCATTTGTTGATTCATCAAATTATTGACTGACTTTAGTCTTGGCATTTTAAGTTGGCTCTAATTGACTGGAAGACTTGTACCACAGGAAGTTATTAGTCTTTTAGGAATTGGATTTTTGTATCTTTTAGCTCTACCGTTTCTCTTGGGTTTGGGGTAAGCTATGTGTTAAATTACTAGTATTCTAGGAATATGTGACCATACGGTCCTGCATCTTTGGTTTGATTTGTTAGTACTTAAGAACAAAACATTTGAGAAATGCAGCAATAATTTTTTGGATGACTTGATGTGTATGTTCTTAAATGTGTACATCATCTGCTCAGGTTCAAAACATTGATAGACATGCAAATTTGAGTTAGAATTTAACACGCAGAACCTTTTTTTTTTAAGATTTCGAACCGATATCTTAAGTAATTTCCAAATGCATGCATGCATACTTACACATGTAGGGCTAGGGCCATGTTGTGGTTTATAGATTCTTTTGGTTTACGATATGTATATGTAAAATCTGTAAATTGGGTGTTGGTCTGATTCATGTTGGGTGTTTTGTTGTTTGGTCTGGCAGGAAGGAATGGGGTATTAAGCAAGAAGGTTCAGGAGGAGAAGCTGTTGGGAAGTCTACAATTGCAAGGCCAACCCATGTTGGGGGCTTATTTCCCACCCCAGATGTACACTCACATTGGTGATTATCATTTAAATAATAGGTTCAAAAAAATGATAGAAAAATACAATATTACCCAATTGGATTTTGTATCTTCTCTTCTTTCATGATGAAGGGAGAGTATTAACATTAGCTTCCATGGGGAATACACGTGGGATTCATTCACTTTTAGGATATGCATCATTTTAAACGAAAAGATTCTTTGACCCAAATTTGAATGAATTTTCATTTGACAAAATCCCAAATCCAAAATACCTTCATACTATAACCAAAAGTTAAAATTTTCTTATTATACTGCGAATCAAATGACGAGATCTCTTATTTAACAACAAAAACAAGTTTAGCAATAATTAAATAAAAATAAACTTTAAGAGCTTCAATAATTCACCATCCTACAGCCGACACGAATTTGTCCTTGTTTTACCAGTCAAAGGCTTAATGTTTCCCATCCTAATCATAGACTTTCCGAAATCAACCCAGAAAGCATTAGGGTTCAAGCTGTAAGTCTTCACAAGTTTATCGGTCGAGCCACCATTGAAAAGTGCTTGGTCCGAGGTGAGTAGACCCCTTTGCTTCACCAAGTCTTTGAAGTACGCAGTGTCGAAGTGACCAGGGGTTGAGTCGAAAGGAGCGTGGTTCGTGTTCCCTTTGGTGCGAGTACAAGTTGCTCTACGGTGTTTGGCAAAAGCAGGATCAATGTTGGTTGCATTGTAGATTCTGTTCCTGAAGATTAAACATTGTGAGAATCCGATGGTTTGACCGCCAGAGAGAGCTACGAGATCTCTCTTGTTCAACCCCTGCTTCTTGAAGTTGTTGATCAATGCAGGGAGATCCATTGATGCCGATGGAAGCACGGTGTTTGCTAAATCTAGTCTGCCTCTGGTTGAGTCTCTCCTTCCCAAACGAACCTTCCATGTCGGGCCTCCAAGCTACAACCAGCATAGTATTTATTCCTCATTTACAAATCAAACACAACACTTTTCTATAAGTCAATTGATAAATGATTTGGATATTACCGCAACTACTGAATCCCGAGCTGCTACGGCTAAGATGTCAGCACAAGAGACCACAGGGCGCCCACAGACTCTATCCACTTCAGCCTTAATTTGATCTACAACTTCAAACCTTCTCACAGAGTTCAAATTTCCAGGTGCATTTTTCTTGGTTTCGAAATCGGGTGTCGAATCCAGAAGAAGTGAACCGTCACACCCCTGCAATCAACACATTAATCATTAGTTAAATATCACAAGCTACATGCAGCTAGTATTAGAGTATATTTCTGAGTTGTTCAAAAGATCAAACTTGGACAGAGGTTTTGTTGTGATTGGTGGTGCGGTGGGTGTCGATTTTTAGAGCTAGAGAGCTGCATGGATTTAGAGTTGTTCCATATAATAACAGCTAGCTTTTGTTTACCAGCACAAATTTAAGGAATTGGTCTTCGGCATTCAAACTGTCGACTTCGAGGAACATTCACGCTTGTCTGCTTTTGAACAAAACAAAAACTGTCTGTTAATGCTATTTATGTGACTGCACAAAGATTTCTAGTTATCTAAAGAACGCTGTTCAACGTTTTAATTTTATCTCCGACGGTCTCCTTTGGCCGCTGCCGCCGGCAGTTGGTGTGATTTTCTGGGACCCACGAAATAAAGCCAGCCTCATTTGCACGTACTATACCATATGTGCACTTTTCATATGGCTTGACCTAATAAAAGACATTCGATCGTCACATCAATCGGTAGTACCCGGCACGTCCTCTACCACCGTACACCGCCGCTGCCGCCGACGGTTTTGGCACGTTTCGTTAGTTTGGTTTTTCAAACTTTGGACTTTCTCAAACCTCTTTCCTCTTCTGTTTGGTCCTTTGAAACTTAAGAAGCGTCCAGAAAGTCCTGTGCTAATAGAAAATTGTTTTCTAATTTAAAATGTTATTTTTTAATATTTTTGGTTAAATTAAAAATATTACGAAGAATATAATATTTTCGGCTGACGTTATAAAGAAAGTGTGCAATCGAAAAATGTTAAAAAAATAATATTTTCAATTACATCATTTTTCTATTGTTTTTTAATCTTAAATTAGACTATCGTAAAGTCATCCATCAACTCCTACTTTAAACAACTTTCAAATTTCAAAGCTAAACACCACCCAAATAATAACAACAATGTGTAGGTTAATGATTTATTAAATTCACTCTTCAGTCTGATAAGTTTGATCAAATATACCCCTTAAATATTTTGAAGGTCAAAATGGTCCTTGTATTTGACAAATTTGATCAAATTGACATTTTAATTCTTTTGTAAAAAAAAACTTATTCGGTTTAAGGCCAAATTGACCCTATAAAACAAGTGTAATGGTCAATTTATTTAACCAAACTTGTAAAGTTTAAGGGATGATGCCACTCTTCAAAAAGTTTAAGGACAAATTTGATAAACTTAATAAATTCATGGGCCAAATCAACCCCAAAAGGTTAGGGGTTAGATTAACGAAACTTACCAAATTTAAAGGCCATTTTGTGGTCTAAGCCATTCTTACAATGACTTGTAAAGAAATTTGATTTTTTGATGAACAATAAGAAAAAAATGTTTCTTTATTGAGTTAATGTTATTCACCACCAACGACGAGTTGGCCTAGTAGGATAAGGTACAATATTCTTTAATCAAGATCATGTGTTCAAACCCTGATGTTTACGAATAGAGCAAACTAGGTTTGGAGGATAGCCCTCGCCTCTGTAGTATCCAATCTGGATTAGTCGATTAATAAATCGATACCAATGATTAATTAAAAAATGTTAATTTTATTCTAATGTGATAAAGGAATAAAATGGTAGTTTATATGTTAATATATTCGGGTGTTAAAATGGCGTGCACGTTAAGTCAAATGTGGATTAATTCAACGTTATATTTATAAACATACACGTAAAGTCAACGAATATGACGGTGAAACTAACCGGTGGATTCCTCTATTATTGTGACGATATCAATTTAAAGCCAAGTCAACGCTAAGTCATTGGTTAATGATGCAAAATTTTTGTTAAATGATCATATTGTGGTAAAAATGCATCAAATGTTCATGTACTTTTTTTCATCGTTGACTGTCACTTGTATATGTGGCAGCTCACAATATAGATGTAATAGTCTATGGAGCTAACATGATAGACTAGGTGGTAAATTAACATCGCGAATGATATGACAGATTGACTAAATTGATAACTGAAGCATGGAATATGGATTGTCAAGTTAAAACCATGAGCTGACACGCTGATACTGTAATGGTTAACAACGAAAACATTGTTCAAAAGGCCACATTAAGTTCATTTTCTAAGTTAGAGGACCACATTAAAAGAAAAAATAATACGATAACCACATTAATTTTTTTTTAAAGTGCAGGAACCTCTGGTGCTTTTTTGTCAATCTTTTTCTAAGTTAGAAAATCAATTTAAATGTAAAAATAACTGAGGATCACATTGATTCTTCCAAAAAGTTCAAGGGTCTCACATTCTTTTTTTTTTTTTTTTTTGCCTAAAATAAAAGGAGGAGAAAACTAAAGCCGACATGAACCGAGCCGACCGGAGTCGAGATGGAGAGTCTGTCTCTCCCGTACGAGCACTCCGTCATGGACCAGCCATGTCAAAATCTCTGATACTATGAAAACACCTCTTAACTGTCCACGTTTCTTACTCTAATTGGTCTTCACTTTTCTCCAGACACCTCTGCCTTTCCCATTTCTTTTCACTTCTATTTTATTATTTCCATTTTTTATTTAATTGAAAAATAAAAACGTCGTCGGAAAAAAAAATCCTACAATATTAATCTTCATCGGAAAAGCTTCGTACTTTAGATAGAGCGAACCAACCCCAAAACTCCTCTCTTTTTTGATTTTTTTTTTGTCATTTTTAATCGATTATTTCTTCGATTATGCATTGAAGATTCTCCGTTTAGAGTGAAAGCTTAAGACTTTTCTCTTTGTTTTTGCCTATTTTTTGCTTGGACTGTAAGTTGTGTTTCCTTCATCGTGTTTCTCCCTTTCCTAGGGTTTCATTTCCTTTTCTGGCCATTATCTTCAAGTCAGTGTCTTTGAGCTCAAGCGAAATTCCAGAAGAAGAAAAAAAGAGAGAGGAAGAAAGAAGATTATAAAAAAAGGAGCTGATTTGGATGGTTAGTTTAGGGAGAGATAGAGGAATCGGTGGTTTGAACTTTGAAGCTTATTTGGAAGATTGAAAGAAAAAACCTTCGGTTTTTAAGACAATTTTTTAGCAAAAAAAGGGGGGGGGGGAAATGGTTTAAAAAATGAGTTGCAGCGAAGAAGAAACCAGAAACGTCGTCGTTTTGAACGGGTCGATCACGGCTACTCAAAAGTTGACCATCGATCAAAATTTGCTCATTGACCCGAAATTGTTATTCATCGGCTCCAAAATCGGCGAAGGAGCTCACGGCAAAGTTTACGAAGGAAGGTCAGTCTCAAAACACCTAATGGTTGTTTAGTGGTAGCTGTGGAAAACTGTTTTTGTTGTAATGCGAACTTTTGTTGTTCATTATCCCAAATTGAATTTTTTTTAGCTTTGAGTTCATAATACATATATGGAGTGGTAGAATCCGTTGACACAGTGTGCGTTTTTAGTTTTTTACGGTGAAATGAATTATTGTGATTGCGAGTATAAGGATGCTATTGTAGTCACTGCCGTTTCGGACAGCATTGTTACCGCAATATTGCGGTCGCTATTCCGATATCATACCGATATTTAAATCCCTGAATTATGGATAGAAATATGTAAATACTATCTAGTTACGTAAGGGCGAGTCTAATATTTTTCCAGGTATGGTAATCGGATCGTTGCCATTAAAGTTCTTCACCGTGGGAGTACTGCAGAGGAAAGAGCTGCGCTCGAGAGTCGTTTTGCTCGCGAGGTTATCATGATGTCTCGAGTGAAACACGGGAACCTTGTGAAGGTGACTGTTCGAAGCTTGAAATGCGAATATGACATTATTTTCATTGATGGAATCTGTTGTTTTATGTTGATTTGTTGCATTGGCAGTTCTTTGGAGATTGCAAGGACCCACTGATGGCGATGGTAACCGAGCTGTTACCGGGAATGTCGCTCCGGAAGTATTTATTTAGCATCCGTCCGAAGGTTTTGGACCTTCATGTGGCTTTGAATTTTGCACTGGATATTGCTCGAGCCATGGATTGTTTGCATGCCAATGGGATTATACATAGGGATCTAAAGCCTGGTATTTATTGAACTTGCTTCTTCTTTACGGCATTAACTGATGCCCCAATGTGATTGAATCTTTGCTATTGAAAGCAGAATGTGCATTGTAGATTTTCGGGTTCTTTGACTAATTCCTTAGAAATTTAATAAGCAGACAACTTGCTGCTTACGGCAAACCAGAGGTCCGTTAAACTTGCGGATTTTGGACTTGCAGGGGAAGAAACTGTGACGGAAATGATGACTGCAGAGACCGGGACTTATCGTTGGATGGCCCCTGAGGTTCGTGCCACTATTGCATTTAGCAAAATGGAAAATGAAACTTATATACAAAGAAAATTGGATCTTTTAGTTTTTGATTTCATCTTGTTGGTTTTGATACTAAGTTGTCTAACTTTTGATATCAGTTCATCACCACCCTATAAGTCATGGAATGTTCATCATAGGCCTCAGGCCTCAAGTCTTTTGTATAGATAGAATAGCAGTAGATTCATGCATCGTCTGTTAGTGTCGTATTTAGTATCTGACTGAACAAATGGATGTAAAATACTCATTAACCTCTTCAATACGATTGATCATTGTTTTCTCCCGGATATGGTTTGTTTAACGAAACGTAATCTCTACGAGCAGAGTTAACTTTTGTTTACAGTTGATCTTGGTTATCTCTCTTTCTATCGATCTGTGTCATTGTAGTTGTATAGCACGGTGATGTTGCGTCAGGGGGAGAAAAAGCATTACAATAACAAAGTAGACGTCTACAGCTTCGGAATTGTCTTATGGGAATTGTTGACGAATCGTATGCCATTTGAGGGCATGTCGAATTTGCAGGCAGCTTATGCTGCCGCTTTTAAGGTGCAAGTCTCTAACGCATGTTTTGTTATGCATGGTTAGTGTTTTTAAACTAGCGGATGACCAACTAATTTGATGCCGTATGAATGTGCAGCAAGAGCGACCTAGACTTCCAGAGGATATATCCCCTGAGCTGGCATTTATCATACAATCATGTTGGGTCGAGGACCCTAACATGAGGCCGAGTTTCAGCCAGATAACGGGCATGCTGAATGCATTTGTCTTCACGCTCACAACGCCTTCACCATCCATACCCGAATCTGACACCAGCGAGACTGCAGAAACAAGTAAAGGAACCATGACCGAGTTATCTGCTCGAACAAAGGGTAAGTTTGGTTTCCTTCGCCAACTGTTCACTGCCAAGAAGACAAGGAACTCTCAATGAGGTTAAACTTTTGAGAAAAAAACCATCTTTTTGTTCCAACTCAAGAAATTTGGCACTCGAGATTAGGTATATATTTTAACCGAATCTCTTCGAATGAAGGAAATGTAGGGGGTCAACTCCATGGGAAAAATAAAAGAAAAAATAGAGCACCATTAACACTGTCTAGTTGACTTCGTTGTAAAGAAGATACACTTGTTTGACATCGCCATGTTCATATCAAATGTTACATTCATCATCTCCAAAAGGCAATCATACTGCAGCTTTACTTTTCCTTTTTGGTATGTTTCATGGATTCTCTCCTACTGGAAGTAGACTTTATGTCATGTTTGTTTGTTAGTGTTTGATTCCGAGTTATGTTTTACAGTTCGAGATGTGATTGTAAAGATGCATAAGATCGTTTATTTGATCACGATGTGCATGATGATCTTTAGGAGGAAAAAGAGAATGCTAATTGCACTATAATCAATGATAACGATAGCAATGGTCGAAAACCCTGAATCCTTTATAACCGATGGTTTTCACCAGTGAAATGGATGAGATTTTCCCATGTTAGTACTGCACCAGTCGGGAACCCTGAAACCTTTATAGGTGACCTAACCTACCTCTTTGGCTATCTGGTGTCTACATTGTCAGCGGAGCACAATTCGGAGTGCGGGAGTTTGGGTCGAGGAATGTCTTATGCATGAAGCTGTTGTATTCTAGGATTCCCGGCTGCAAGTAAATTTTTGTGGGAACATACTCCGAATGACGAACTAAAGAAAGTTGCGGCCGCTGTCGGTAGTTCCGGGCTTCCGGCTAAGAAGAAAGCATTATAAGCAAATCGGCAAAATTTGTTGACAAGTCGGAGATGAGTGAAGTACCACAAGATCCAGAGTGAAGTTCCCCTTGTTGAATTATCTAATATTTTCCCCCATTTTGGTTTGTGTTCGTTATGCATGCAAAGAATTGTGCAGGTTGTTCCCGGTGTTGGTTTATCCTGCGATTGCTGTCTGAAATGTGAGTTTGGTGGTAACCTTTGAAGTTGTAACATTTAGAAAGGCGAAGTTAAATAATAATAATAATAATAAAAAGGGTAAAGTGTACAATATGGTTCCCAACTATAGGATGTTATTTTATTGAGTATCATGGCTATCAAAAGTTAAAATATGATCTTCCGACTATAGGATGTAGTATTGTTGAGACTCTTGATTATTAAAAGTTACAAAATGGTCAACCGATTATTCATTATATTTTAAATTTGTTATTTTTTTGTTAAAAAAATGACGACAATATGAGTTGGATGTTAATCTGTTGTCTGAGATATGATAAAATATGACCAAAAATCTCAAACGACTGTCATATTTGAGATAGTAGATTAACATCTAGCTCAGACTGTTGTTAATTTTTTAACCGAAAATGACAAGTTTGGAATACAATGAATAGTCAGATGAACATTTTATAACCTTTAATAGTCAAGAGACTCAACAAGCAACATCCTATAGTCGATTATAACTTTTAATAGTTGGGGACTCAACAAAGCATCACCATATAGTTGGGAGACTCAAGTTATAAAATGGTTATTAAACTAAGCGAATGTTATAAAATAATCATAAATTTTGTTAAGATAAATGATCATTTTATAACAACCAATAAATTTAGTAATCATTTAAATATTTTTTTTTATTAAAAGTTAGATTTTCATTAAATAAGAAAGGTGAGGTACAATAATGATAATATAATCCCAACATGAAAACTCAGAAGATGTGAAGAAAAATAAAATTAAAATTTTCCTTCAAATATATATATATATATATATATATATATTCTAAACAAATTTAGCAACTATTAATATTCTCTATTTTTCTATTCGAACTTAGATCAATATCGATGAAGGTGTGGAAATTGAAAAAATCAATATGATAAGTTACTCGAATAATTCTGGATATATCGATAGATCATTGTAAAAGAACATCTAACTATACTAGACCTTTAACCTCTTATGATCAAGAAATATGTTGCGATAAATATTTATTTAAATCTAAATAAAAAAAGCTAAAAATAAAAGGAAAAAAAAAACACGCACACAACACCACCGGGGCATCGCCTAGAAACAACACTATAAAACAAAAATAATTTACTTTAACCGTTAATTAAAAATTAACTTTGATACATAATTCGTACTCCAATTTTAATTTTGGGTAAATTATTCATTTAATACTTAAATTTACTATTAATTTTAATCCGTTTTGAAATTTAAAATTTGAATTTTTTTAAAATTATACATAATATTTAATTTTTGTTTCATTTAATACATTATAAATATGTGAATAACTTAACCATTAAACACCACTAACCATGTCGGCAAAGAAATTAGTTAAACGTTAGGCTTGTCTTCGGAAGGTGTCGGCATGTCGGTGCCTGAGCCTATCTCTCTACAAAATTGGAGTTCCTTCCATCACCAATCACCCTTTTGCCGTAAAGGCAAGGCAATCCAAGCTTAGTCATAACCGGCTCAATACGTCAAACGCAACTGTATATAGCACTCCATCCTAGGCCGGTAGAGGAAACATGATTAAAATTGACGGTCTTCATTATAAGTTCTATAACTAACATTTTTTTAAATTAATCATTGATATCTGATCTATTGACCGACTAAATTAAATCGGGTACTGCAGAGACGATGACAACCCTCCCAACCCAGTTTGCTCCATTCGTAAACTTCAGGATTCGAACTCCTGACCTTGCTTAAGGAATCTAGCGTCTCATCCCACCATACCTAACATTCTTATTTTATTGTTTTCGGATATATGCAAGAGATAAATAATTATGATGATCCATACGTAAAGGTATTCTCGTCTTAAAGAATTAATATCATCCTTTAATTTACGCTCATCCAATAATCTTAAAATGTTATAAAACTAAAAGTTTTACATCAAATGTAAGTGAATCGTAACCCTAAACTCTAAAATCTCAAATCCCAAAACTCCTACACCAAACACCAAACATAAGCTCAAACCCTAAACCCTAAAATCTCAAACCCCAAAACTCCTACAACAAACATAAACTAAAGCCCTAAATCATAAAATCTAAACTATAAACCCTAAAGTTTGATCTTAAACCTCAAATTTTAAACCCTAAAACATTATTATTTTGCTACTAGTTAAAGAAATATTTATTTATAAGTTATAAATTTTAATTAAGTCTAAGTAATTTATTTATTTAAATCTAATAGCTATAAATTAGTATAAAACTTATTAATTTTACGAATCATAACCCTATATATATACATATTATAAAATTTGATATACTCGTATAATTCTCTTTTAATTATCATCGACTGTAATGAAATCAAAATTAGAGGAAAAAAAAAGCAACGAGAATAAATTAAATTATAAATGATCACGGGAATCAATATGTAACTTGTGGCTATATTTAAGAGAGAAAAAAGATGTCAACTGAAATAAAAGCTGCATGCAAAAACGGTTTAAATTCAATTAAAACCCACCATTACCAAACCCTACTCATCTACATCATCTCTTTCCAAGCTCCTATATAAACCCTAATACCTGAACCCTAATCAACTCACTCGCCTTCCAAGAACACAGCCAGATTCTCCAAGTTCATTTGTTTTTCATTTCAACCCTCCATGGCTAGTGTTAAGCTCGTTTGTGGTCTAATCTTGTTCATGTTAGTGGTTGAACCGATGGCCACGACCGCCTTAACATGCGGAGACGTGGCGGGACTGGCGGCCGGATGCTTAGGATACTTGCAGAACCGAGGTGGAAGAAGGCCGTCGAGTGCTTGCTGCAATGGTGTTAGGAACCTCAACAGGCGAGCTAGAACCACCCGTGACCGACGAACCGTGTGCCGGTGCTTGCAAACCGCCGCCAGGACCATCTCCGGTGTTAATTACCGATTAGCTGAGAGTCTTCCTGCTAGATGCGGTGTTAGAATTCCTTTCAAGATCAGCCCCTCTACTAATTGCAACAGGTACCCTTCTACTTATATAGTTATATGATATGTTCGGATCTAATTAAATGATTTATTTATTTATTTATTTGAACTTGTTGCAGGGTGAGATGAGATGGATGAAGTAATTTGCAGCTTGCAGGAGATACTATATATATATATATATATATTATATGGGGGTAAAAATAAAGATTTTGGGATGATTATGCTTCCAGAATTTAGTCTCTTTGTTAATTGGTTGTTTATCCTTCTGTTGTCGGCTCTAATAATATCGTCTATGTATCGGATGTTCTATGGTGTATTCAGTTTGAGTAATAATATCTCCTTCAATAATGTAAGATTTTATTATAAAATTATTTTGTTTGGTTTGTTAATATTATTTTACGGTAACAATTAGGGATGATCATGTGATTCAAACATTATAAATTTTGATATGGTTTAATCCGATTTTATAGGGTAAAGTACACGAGTTGTCCCTCGGATATAGAGTGTTGCTTTGTTAAATCACTGATTATCAAAAGTTACAAAATGGTCTTTCGACTATAGGATGTTGTGTTTTGTTGAGTCCCTTGACCATTAAAAGTTACAAAATGGTCATCCGACTATTCTTTATGTTCTAAATTCATCATTTTCCATTAAAACTTGACGACAGTCTAAGCTGGATGTTAATCTTGTTGGGGAAACCGGGTTATTTCCCACACGAACGTAGTTTCAAAATTGACCTGAATCGTCAAGATCAAAACTACCAAAATTGCACAGCGGACAAACCCATCAAACTATTAAATATTGAAACACAATAGAAAACCCCAATAAAGAGCAATAATGAAGAGAACACACCAAATTTACAAGGTTCAACGAAAATATCATTTACTCCTCGGGCACCACCAACGAATGATAACTTCATTATCGACAAAACATTACAACAAATGGAATTTCATAGAATTCCCAAAATATTACAAAGTGGGAGAATAAAGAAAACAAATGGGAGAGAGAATTTTTTGGGATACATTCAAGTGAAAGTGCTTAGGCCTATTTATAGTTGAGCTTCAAGGACCAAACTTGCAAATAACCTAATAGTTTAGGGACTAAATGATACTTTTCCCATGTACACAAGTTGGTAACTTGACAACTTGCAACATTTGGTATCCATCATATGCACTTGTCAAATTGTGTAGCCAACTTATGTAGCAAAATCAAACTTGAACTCTTTGGTGGTTGCAAAATTGAATTTGAATTCTTTGATGGCTACCAATTCTGACCAATACTTGTTGACATTCAAACATGTAGGCTTGTAAAATTACAAGCCACACATAGCAAATCTCCACCTTGGCTTGATATTTCCAAGCCTACTCAAATTCTTCAACTCCTCAAATCTGATGAAACTATCCTAATGTAGCTTCTCTAATCACGTTCACATGCGTCGTACACCCGAAGGTGCTCAAACTTTTAGGATGTTAATCAAGTTCAAACAATGATTGAACTTGATTACTATTACCATCTTGGTCATCATATTTGCAGGATTGTATGTTGTCGTAATCTTCTGAAATATAATATTTTCTTCTTCAAAATTCTTACGCACAAAGTGATACCTCACGTCGATATGCTTAGTCCTTGAATGCTAGACTTGATTTTTCGCTAAGTGAATAGCGCTTTAACTGTCACAATAGAGACTAATCTGACTTTGAACAACTTCCAAGTCCTCCATCAACTTGTTAAGCCAAATTGCTTCTTTCATAGCCTTTAAAACTGCCATATACTCTGCCTCCATAGTAGACAAAGCCACTATAGACTATAATGTAGACTTCCAACTTATTGGGGCTTTAATAAGAGTAAATGAATACCCAGTAGTTGATCGATGCTTATCCAAATCTCCAGCATAGTCAGATCAACATATTCAACCAAAAACTGACCAAGTTCTTCATCATGTGCAAAAACTAAAGCAATATCTAGGGTTTGTTAAAGACATCGTAGAATCCATGTCACAGCTTGTCAATGTCCTTTTCCAGGATCATGCATATACATGCTCACAACTCCAACATCATGTGAAATGTCAGGATGCGTACACACGATCTCATACATCAAACTCCCAATTGCATTAACATATGGAACTTTTGACATATATTCTCGCTCTTCATTAGTTTTAGGAGATAACTAAAAACTAAGTTTAAAATGAGAAGCAAGTGAGATGCTTACATGGTTGGCCTTTTCATTAATGCCAAAACATTGTAACACATTTCTCAGATACTGTTTCTGAGTCAAACAAAGCTTGTTTTTCTCTCTATCTCTACTTATCTTCATACCGAGAATCTTTTTGGCCTCACCTAGATCTTTCATCTCAAACTATTGATTCAACCGAGCCTTCAATTTGTCTATCTCATTTTGACTCTTCGAAGTAATCAACATATCGTAAACATATAAGAGAATATAAATGAAAGATCCATCTTGTAGTTTTTACAAATACACACAATGATTGTATTTGCTTTTGGTGTACTTTTGCCTCCTCATAAAGCTATCAAATTGCTTGTACCACTGCCTCAGAGATTGCTTCAATCCATAAAGTGATTTGTTCAGCTTACAAACTCATTTCTCACAATCATCATCTTTATATCTTTATGGTTGAGTCATATAGATCTCCTCTTCCAAATCATCATGCAAGAAAGACGTTTTTACATCAAGTTGAGCTAGCTCAAAATTCATCTGTGTTACCAAGGCTAACAATATTCTAATGGAGGAATGTTTCACAACATGAGAAATACTCCATTGTAGTTGATTCCCTCGTTTTGAGAGTAGCTTTTAGATACCAACCTTATCTTGTAGCGAACATCTTTTTTGCTACCCATCTTTGTTTGAAAATACCCACTTACATTCAATTACTCTTATACCTTTCGGTAATTGTGCCAGATTCTAGGCGTTGTTCTTTCGGAGAGATTGTATTTCTTCATCCATGACACTTTTCCGCTTGTCATTTTCCAAGTTTTGTATGGCTTCTTGGTAAATGATACGAATATCATCATAAAAAATTGGGAGAGCATATGCCATCATATCAACAAATCGAGCAGGTCTATAAATTTATGTTCTTAGCTTTGTAACTACAAGTAGTTATGGTGTTTTTGGGTTTGAACCTCTTCATCTTCTGATTCTTCTATAGGAGTTGAAGATTCGGTTGTATCAACTTCTGGGATCGTCATATGTTGAAACTCCACTTGTTTTGGAGTATGTTTCACCTGCTGCAGAGTACTACTTGTTTGAACAACTCCATTTGTTACATTTTTTTTACTATGCAGATTCATCAAAGGTAACATCTCTGCTACAAACTATCTTCTTGGTTTCTACACACCATAGGCGGAATCCCTTCACTTCATGGGTGATTCCATAAAGAGAGCTTTCTTTGCTCTCGAATCAAGCTTTAATTCCTTCATATGATAATAAGCAATGGATCCAAACACATGAAAGAAATCATAATCTATAGCAGGTTTTCCAAATCATACCTCCAACGGTGTTTTTCCTCCAATTGTTGATGACGACATAAGATTCATGAGATGACCAGCATATGTCACAACCTCAACCCAAAATGTTTTCACTAACCCAAAATTAGATAGCATACATCAAACTTTTTCCAATAATGTTTAATTCATATGTTTTTCCACCCCATTCTACTGTGGTTTATTTCTAACAGTGAAGTGTCAAATAATATCATTCTCTTGGTAAACGTCAAAGAATGAATCACTTCTATTGTCATTTGATATTTTTACCAGTCTGGTTCTCAATCATATTTTTCCATTTAAGGAAAATTTCAAGCACTTCATCTTTGGACCTCGTCGGATACACCCAACCCTACACATCTGAGTGAATATAATCCAAAATACCTTTCGTATTATGGATTGTGGTGCCAAACTTCACCCTCTTCTGCTTTCCCAGAACACAATGCTCACAAAAGTTCAATTTGCAAGCCTTTGCACCTTTTAACAACCCTTGCTTTGCCAGAATTTGCAAAGATTTCTGTCCAGCATGTCCCAACCGCATATGCCACAACTAGGTTATATCCAAATTGTCGCCACCAAAAGTTGTTGCAACTGCTCCAATAATTGTACTACTTTGGTAGTAATACAAATTATTTTTCCTGATGCCCTTCATCATCACAAGTGCATCAGACGTGACTTTTAAAACTTCATCTCTCATGGTGAGTATGAGCATTTGGATTCCAAGATTCCCAACAAGGTGAGATTTTTCTTCAATTCCGGAACATATTGGACATCAATCAAAACTCTAATTGATTTATCTTGATTCTTCAATCAAATTGAACTTATCCTAACAGTTTTACAGGCATTATCATTGCCTATATAAATAACTCCTATATTTAGTTCTATTAAATCGGAGAACCACTCTCGATTAGGGGACATATGATAGGTGCAACCTGAATCTAATATCCACTTATCTGAATGGAATCCTGATGATGAAGCAACCAATGATATGTCTGATCTATTGGCATTATGCTTTGCAACACATGCATCTGGAGCAGGTTTTTTTTTTCTTTTTCAGCTTCGGACAATCTTTCTTCTAATGGTATTTCTCATAGCAAAAGGCATATTCATCTTTTCCTAGTCTAGAATTTGATTTTGATCTCTCTATCCTCTGTGGCTTTTGGCTTTTTGAGCTACATCTTTCCATAATAACCTCCGCTGCTTCGTACCTGTTCTCCTTATTGCTTTTCTTCTTGAGCTCATAACTATACAAAGCAACAATTACATCTTTAAGGGTAACTTGATCCTTACCATGAAGTGATGACATCTCAAGGTGCTCAAATTTATCTGAAAGAGATGACAACAACATTAAAACCAAATCTTCATCTTTTAAGTTTTCATCCATGCCCAACAAATATGCCACTAGTTCATTGAAAGCAATGATATGTTCATTCATACTGGTGCTTGGCTGATAATCAAATTTGAACAATCTTTTCTTCATGTAGAGATGATTATGAGAGCTTTTATGTAGAATTTTTCCTCCAATGCTTTTTACAACTTAATTGCAGAAGTTTCGTTATTGTAGCCATACTTCTACTCCCTGGAAAAACAAGATCGAATCGTGTTGCACACCAAACGATTAATTGTTCCCTATTCTTTCTCTTCCATATATGCATGCATTTCTTCCTTAATGGTGATGTCTAGATCTTGTTGGAATAAAGCGTCTAACACCTCACCTTGCCACATGCGGAAATGATTGGATCCATCGAACAACTCCACTGAGAAACAACACCATTCTCATCTGTCTGGATGAAGAGCTTGATGACTCAACTTATTCGTATTTGGTCATTTTAAAGCTAACGAACAATATTCAACAAAACGAACTTAATATTGTCATCAACGAGACCACCAAGATAACATCAATCGAAGCTTGATACCAATTGTTGGGGAAACTGGGTTATTTCCCACACGAACGTAGTTTCAAAATTGACCTGAAACGTCAAAATCAAAACTACCAAAATTGTACAATGGACAAACTAGTCAAATTATTGAATATTGAAACACATTGGAAAAACTCAATAAAGAACAATAATGGATGATAACTTCACTATCGACTAAACATTACAACAAATGGAATTTCATAGAATTCCTAAAATATTACAAAGTGGGATAATGAAGAAAACAAATGGGAGAGAGAACTTTTTGGGATACATTCAACTGAAAGTGCTTAGGCCTATTTATAGTTGAGCTTCAATGACCAAACTTGCAAATAACATAATAGTTTAGGGACCAACTGATAATTTTCTCATGTACACAAGTTGACAACTTGTCAACTTGCAACATTTGGTATCCATCATAGTCACTTGTCAACTTGTGTAGCCAACTTATGTAGCAAAATCAAACTTGAATTCTTTAGTGGTTGCAAAATTGAATTTGAATTCTTTGATGGCTACCAATTTTGACCAACACTTGTTGACATTCAAACATGTAGGCTTGTAAAATTACAAGCCACACATAACAAATTTTTTGTCTAAAATATAATAAAATTTGATTATAGAATCTCAAACGACTATAATATGTCAGACAACAAATTAACATCTAGCTCAAATTGCCGTCATTTTATTTAATAAAAAATTATATAAGATCAATACCTAAAAATTAAGTCAGATGTTGAATTAACTGAAGCTAAGGTGAATTAAAAACTCAGCCCAACCTATTATTATCCCTAATAGCAATATAATATACTAAATAGATGACACTACTCATGAATGTTTAAAATATACTTCAAGTCTCTGTATACTTTGTACATTTGAAATTTAGTCATTCTACTTCTATTTTTAGGAATTTAGCCCCTTTATTTTTGGAATTTAAAAATTTAATTCTAATTTTTACTTTTGTTAAATTCAAGTTCATGACAACGTCAATTTTTTGCTATACGTGGTTGCCAAATTAGTATATTTTTTATATTTAAAATTGCCAAATTCAAGTAAAGAGACTAAATCATTAAAAACAAAAGGAAAAGAACTAAACTAAATGTATGAAGAGTACATGGACCGTGAGCATATTTTAACCATTTAGTACTTAGGGTAGTAACATTTAGGTGGTTACTAAATAAATAAATAAAATATTTGTATTATTGACTAGTTTTAGTAATTAAAAAAAGTGTTATTTTTTTTTCTTTTTTAAGGTTTTGAATTCGACTAGTTGAGATTTTAGAGCAGTGACAGACTTAGAAATATTTTTTAAAACAAATTTTTCTTATGAGGTGGGAAAATCAATAAAATAAATAACTAATAGAAAAATTCGAATTTCAGGTGAAAACCTTTCCACCATAGACTAAAGTTAGATCTATCATTAATTCAGAATGTGTATTATCAATGGCTAAGATTATATATAAATAATATCTTATAATTATAAAATATTTGTAAAAGCTAAAAGGCATATATTATATTTGTAAAAAAACATATAAATTTGATCATCAAATATTTTAATTTAAATAAATTTAATAATTAAATAATTTTTAGTTACTGAAATTAAAATATTTTGTTTGTGTCGGTGGTTTATAGGATTGTGCTCATTTCTTAATATGGCCTTGTGGTTAGATAAGATAATTGAATATGATTGTTTTTAGAGTTAATTGTACTATAAGTTCTCAAACTATGGTTTTTATTTTAAATTAGTCATTAAATTTTTAAATATTTTAAATTCATCCCCAAACTATGACTGGCATTCTAAATTAGTCTTTAAACTTTTTAAAATTCCACATTCATCCCCAAACTATGATTGGCATTCTAAATTGGTCTTTAAACTTTTTAAAATTCCAAATTCATCCCAAAGCTATGACTCTCATTCTAAATCAGTCCTCAAACTTTTGAACATTCCAATAACCTCCCCCTAAATCATTCAAAAGTTTGGGGATAAAATTAGATTATTTAAAAGTTTGAGGATCAATATAGAATGAGGGTCGTAGTTTGAGGATAGGTTTAGAAGTTTTAAAATTTCAGGGACTAATTTAGAACATTAATCATGTTTAGGGGTGAAATTAAAATATTTAAAAGTTTAAGAACTAATTTATAATAAGAGTCGTAGTTTGAGGACACATAATACAACCAACTTTTGTTTTTTTATTAAAACAAGGCATACCAATTAGGTGAGAAAGCAAGGAGGAAGCATTGAAACCAAATAGGGAAAACGTTACTCTTTGTGATACATATAATTACAATACCACACGTTATTTTCCCTAACAAGTCGTTTAATTTGAGGATTTGCGTATATATCAATGATATGGAATCGTTATATATATTTTTCAATTTTTGAAATTAAAGATTTATATTTTTGAGAACACGAGTAATATAATTTTCGAATCGTTTATAATGTATAAACAAAAGTTATGACAGACCCACGTGATTTATCAAGAGAGAAATCTATGTGACGAGCATATCTGTTTAATTTGATAACCTACAAGCAATCATAAGTTATTTATATGTTTGACACCATTAACTAAGGTCGGTATAAATACCTCTCAAACACGATTAATAAGGACAAAGACACTTATATTGGTCGACTAACGATAACTCTCTCTATTCTCTCTTTCAATATATCATTTTTCTCCGTTTTATGATAAAAAATTATCGACTAACGGTCATCTTTATATTAATCGGGATTCTTCATCCAAATTAAAACCAAATTAGAAAGATTAAATCGTAACAACTGACGTAATCTATTTATTATCATGACAAAAAATGAAATTTTAAATATTTTTTTTAATAAAAATATAATATATATCTTACCATTAAAATAGGTAATTACAAATAAAATATTTAAAAATAACCTAGCATCATTGGATCATCTTTTTTCTTTCTTCAGTACTGAAATACTGTCATGTAACTTGTTGGGGGAGTAAATTTGTAATGAAAAAATAAGGTAAATTAAGTGTTTAGTAATTTAACTATTAGTTTTGGTTCATTCTAGTATTTAAATTTTTAATTTTTTAAAATTATACCTATCGTTTAGTTTTTGTTTCATTTTAGTACTCGTCGTTAAAATCTTAACGGTCGGGCTCGTCGGCCATCACATCTATAGTCGCAGTCGTCGCGTTTGTTGGCCAATGAAGCCCAAACTTTCTAGTCTGCACCTTTACGACCCCCTGAACGTGATTTCGACCTCCATTTCGTCGAAAAATGCCTCTAACTCCCCTAAATTGATGATGGGCTCTTTGACTTCTTCATCCTTCGATCTTCGTCGCCAACCGTCCGATGGACCTGAAATTGGTCTATGTTGGTCGACTCGTAATTCTCTTAAGGTCCACCATTTGGATTGGTCGTTCGTCCATCCGAGTTATGCCCCATCAGCCCGTCTGTTAAGTTTTTAACGGTGGGGGTACTAAAATGAAACAAAAACAAACGTTAGGTATGATTTTAAAAAATTAAAAGTTTAGGTATTAAAATTGACAAAACTGATAGTATAGGTACTAAATGCATAGTTTACCCAAAAAAATTACTAACAAATAAATCCTTATGACACCATCACCATTCACCATGTTCAATTATTTTCACAACTCCCATTTAATTCCCCCAACCATTTTCCACCACCACAATAAATGAAATCCAACTACCAATTATAAACCAAATATGCATACTATTAACCCTCACTATTTATTCCCATACCTCTATATAAACTAACCCCACCTCAGGCCTTTGAGTGCACCTAAATCACCTCAAAACATCTTATACACTTTCTTTAGCAACAGAGTTGACATGGCTAGTTCAAGCGTCCTAAAGTTAGCATCCTTGCTGCTCGTCGTGTGCATGGCGGTAACGACCGTACCCAAGGCAGCCGACGCGGCGATAACATGCGGCGGTGTAGTGAACCACCTGATGCCATGCATTTCCTACGTGCAAAACGGCGGCCAACCCACCGCCGCGTGCTGCAACGGGGTGAGGGCGCTCTACGCCGAGGCTCAAACCTCGACGGACCGCCAAAGCGTGTGCAAGTGCCTTAAATCGGCCATCAACGGGTTCCGGTACTCGAGCTTCAACCTCGGTAACGCGGCGGGCCTCCCCGACAAGTGCAGTCTCCATATTCCGTACAAGATCAGCCCCTCCATCGACTGCAACACGTAATCGCATTGCCATGAATTCTTGCACTTGGTTTGCATGCACATGCAAAAAAGGGTATTCTAAATTAAGTTTGTAGCGCTGATTTGTGTATTGTACTTTCTGTTTGCAGGGTGCAGTGAGGTGGATGATGACGATGATGCTGGATGAACGAGTACGACGTCGTTTTCAGCTCAGCTTGATGAAGTAGCTAGCTCTAGCGACGGTTAAATAAGTTGTGTTGGTGTTGTTTTCGGCAATATTTACTTTGTTAGTGCTGGTGTTATATATTATATATATTTATATATATATATATATATCGTGATCTTTATTTATTAGTAATACTACGACGTTTTATCACCACCTTATATATTGGCACCCATAAAAATATTAAACAATAAATTTAATCACTTTTAGAAAAATAATAACACCATTTTTTAAAATTCTATCAGTAATCCATTTTTACTATACATTATGTGAAAAAAACTCAACTAAAAAATTGAATATTTCAAATACAAATCTACTTTATTTGGCTCGCAATTTAAAAGTTCGAATCGAAAATTTTTCAGATAAAATTTAAGTTATAAAATAAAACACGTCAACTTGATTAATTTTTAAATTTTTTGACTCAATTTGATTCTATATTCCATGTAGTACTTATTCCTAACAATATATATATATATATATATATATATATAAATTAGGATATTAATTCATTCTAGATTAGTTATATCATATAGTCTTAAAATATGAATTCGGTTTTAAATCGATTAAACTTAAAAATAGAGTAAACTATATCAGATACCATCAAACTTTAAGTGATGTATCGTTTATATCACTAAACTTTTATTTTTTTCAATTACAACACTAAACATTAATTTTTGTTTCAATTAAACCACTGTCCTGTTAAGTCGTTAACAGACGGGTCAAAACAAGGTCGTTTTCGTGAGGTGTCTACGTCGATAGTCGTCAACGATATCAACAGCCGTCAACCACGTCATCGTGCGATTAATGATTTAACGGTTCAGTAGTATAATTGAAACAAAAATCAAAGTTCAGTGATATCTGATTATAGTTTACTCTTAAAAATATTATTAAGTACTATTAACCAAGTGTTTCTTTGAATTTAGTTGTCAATTTGGACGTTAAGATATTGCTTGGATCTAGGGTTGAGTATGTATAGGGTTGATCTTTTGGCCAGTTAAACCCGATTCAAGTATTATTTTTATTCACTTATGACCTGATTCGACAGGTCTAGAGAGCCTTCATCTGACTTGATTTTAAGGTAAAAATTTGTACCCGACTCAAATTGATATATTTTATTTAATAAAATAAGGCTCTAATTGAAAAATATGAAAAGATAAAGGATATATATACTATTATATCTCATATTGAATTTAAAATTTTTTATTATAAATTTGAACTCGATCTGATCCTTTGAAAAATCCAATCCAATTTATCTAAACCTATATTCCCCCCCAAATAAAACATAAATGATTGGATCAAAACCTATTAGGTTGGAGTGGAATACCCCTACTAGGATCCAATGAGATAAATGAGTGCACAAAGGCATAAACATTGAATGCATTTTATGATAATAGATAATATCCACCAACCCAAACCTAAAACAACATACAACATTCATCCCTTGTTCACTGTGACAGCGACAGTGTCCGTCTGTGGTGACCAATAGTAACTCGTCCTTAAAGATATGTATATATGAGAAGCTTCGTGGATATATCTGCCCTACTGCCAAAAACCTTGTAACATTCATTATTATCTTACATCTTATCAACTTATCTTAGAGCCACGATGATTGTTATTTTTAAAAGTTTCGGGTTCGAACACTCACACAATTGTAGGACATTTGAGCGTTTATAATCAAATAGTTAGAAACACGGACGGATGCATATAACCCCATATAGGACCAAATGCATACCCATTATTTAGATCGGTTAGTAAATATAATTCAATATATAAAGGGAAGAAATAAATTTTTTTTTGCATACCCATCATTTTTAAAAAATAGTATTAAAATTTTTGGATCCATTTATAAATTTCTGAACCCATCATTGATTAGAAGTCTTTAAAATATATACATCCACTTGTAATCGTCCTAAAACAATAATCGAGAGACTTAATAAAGTAGTATACTATAATCGAAAGATCATGCATATACTCTACCCTAATATAAAATATCAAGATTATATTATAGGTGAATCCGTTGTATCAGAAAAATTATATAAATTTATTGAATTTTTTAGTAATAACTCTTGCATCACAAAAATAAAAATAATATTTTTTAGGGTTAAAATTAGTTGAATAGATTTGAAGCACTTATTGGCAAATGCATACACCAAAATATCAACTTCAAAGATAAATTGATTTATATTTATTCTATTTTTTTAAATAAAATAACAAGGAAGCATTACTTGTACTATCATTAGACGTAATTGGCGTATAGGTAAATTATAGTATATGTCATTTTTGTTTAATTTTCTTATGATTTTGGCCATTCAATGTTTAATTATTATAATTTAGTTGCTTACATTATCTATTACTAATAACAATTTTATGAATAAGGACAAAACAAGTTATAAAAAATGATTGATTTGTAATTTGAACCCTGAACTTTAGATAAAAAATTAATTTAATATTTTTTATAATATTTTAATTATAATTTTATAAATATCTTAATCGTTTTCCTTAATTCCACCGTCACCATCGCCACTCCAGTCGCCTTATTTCGTCGGAACCAAGCATAAGAATCTCTATGCATACGATTTTATCTAAAATATATGGGTTAAATTACAAAATTGTTAATATAAATGACCAAATTGTATCGATTGAATGGCCAAAATTAGAAGACACTGAAACAAAAGTGGACTCTCATGTAGTTTTACCCTTCTCCTATTTCATATTCTAAGCAATTAAATTATTCCATGTCGATATAAAATGAAATCAATCTTAATATATGGTTAAAGAAAGACACTACCGAAAATATTAATATTTTTTAACATTTCCGGTAAAGCGTTACCTAAAACATTATTTTTTTCTATCGAAAATGTTAATGTTTAACATATTCAGTAAAGCGTTACCTAAAACATTAGTTTTTCTACCGAAAGTTTTAATATTTGGCGCTACTTAAAATATTATTTTTTTTAATAAAAAATTAGATAGTGAAATTAACATTTTTTTTATAAAAAATAATATTTTAGGTAATACTTTACCAAAAATATTAAAAAATATTAATATTTTTCAATAAAACATTTCATTAATCGTATATTAAAACTATCGTACAACAATTCTACTCTTATAAAATATTTTAATCAGTTTTCAAACTTCAAAGTACACTAACTAATAATCATTTTAAAATTGGATTTCTTCTTCTCGTTATATATTATATTATTTATTTTTAGTATAAAATTCGGTCCAATCCAACATCAGTGATGAAGTATAAATAGTGAAAAGAAACGACAAGTGGGTCCAAGTGGAGCGCAGTGCTTTTTATTGTTATTATTATATATAATTGGCAGAAAGGTACCATAGGTCCCTGTTTTTTTGAAAACAATCAATGTGGCCCCTAACTAAAAATATAAACCCGATGTGACTCTTTGACCATAGTTTATTGTCGTTTACAGTGCTGATATAACAGTTCATGATGTTAATATGATAGTCCACATTGCTGCAGTTCATGGTGACAGATCAACGTGACAGATGATATGAAATATTACTTAAATCTTTAACTCAAATATGACTGATGGATTATCATATCAGTGCCGTGAACTGACACGCCAGGACTATGACAGACGGATGACATTGACTTTATTTTCTGAGTTAGAGAGTCATATTGAGAGAGAAAAATAATATAATGATTATATTAATTATTTTTAAAATATAAGGACCTCTGATGCCTTTTTACCTATATAATTTTGGTTTCTTCACTGTTACGGGAAAATCGCACCCCACAAGCAAAGGACAAGGTTGATGTTTGTTGACTGCATGTCGGTCCCAGCAAAGCTTACAGTTAGATCTTGACCGACCATCTTTTCATATCATATTCAATCGGACGATGGAAATCCGTTCTCAAATCCACTTCTCGATAGCTCACATAGTTTGACCACATCCGAAAAAAACACACACAAGCTCCTTTTATTTTTATTTAGAAACAAAATCTAAATTTTCCAAACTTTGACCGCCACTTCAATTGAGGTGCTCATTGTTGAAAATCGACCTTCAAAGAAATTTACACTTTTACCCCCAAACCTTTAATTATTATCAATATCATACTCTAATTTAAATCATCAATTCACCATTATCCTTAAAAATTTGCTCCTGTTCTAAATGGAACAAACTAATTGAAAATTTTGTGCTCATAATAAATTGTTAAAGTATTTAACTTAAATTAATTGATTAATAGAATAAATATCAATAATAATTAATTTTTTCACATTTATTTAAACTCTGAATTTCATATTTTAAACTTTTATCAAAAGTGAGGTATTAGATTTTAACTTCAAGTCAAAGTCTCGTCCTGAGATAATAATATGATTATCCCTTATTTATTTTGTGATAATTGCACCAATATATCCCTTTTTATTTTTTAATTATTTTATTTTATTAAATTATATATATATATATATTGAGTTGGGTGTAAATTTTATCATAAAAATGAGTTGAATTTGGTGTCGAATATAATCTCATTAAAATCATGTTAAACTGGATTTCGGATGAAGGGGATACTTTTCTCAAGTCAAGTCAAATTAGTCGAAAATCTGATCCAATCCAATTCATGTCCATCTCTGATTCTAAAAAAATGACACATTCAAGTATTATTATACGCGGATCATGTCTAACAATATTCTGATCAAAATATAAATTTGTATGTTTATGATTTATAATGATTAATTCTTAACATGTTTCAATTATCAATTTATCTATTTGTGGTTTAATTCTTATTTTAATCATCTGAATCTATTGATTGTATTTATAATCATGTTAGTCCATTATTCTAATTAATTCTAACAAACCCAAAAATATGGTAATAGCATATAAAATGGAGGACTAGAGTGTAAAAAACAAAAAATGAGGAACACATTTGAGATAAAGGGAGAGTGAATGAATAAATTTTCATGGTTAACTAAATGCAAGTGTTGGTTTGAGTTTGACCAGTACTCATTCGGCACCATTCTTGTTTCATTTTCTTTCTTCTTAAACAACAACAATAAATACAAATAATATTGTTTTTCTCATCAGCTGCCTACTTTTCCATCTTTCCCTGGAAAGGAGAATAAGAAACTCACTTAAAAACAGCTTTCTC